CGTCTGTGACAATAACCACGGTTAGTAGTTCTGCCATTCATTTTACGTCAGTTTCACATTTATTAAAAAGTTGTTCACTCATCTTTTTTATTGCAGCCAGGCTGTACAGACACTTTTTCATCATCAAACACCCTGAGATGAGGAACAACATAAACCAGATACAAATGCCTGACTGATTGAGCCGGCTAAGGCATGCCCCACACAGAGGTCATATCAATATTGCCCTTTAATAGATTCTAATATGTTTTTTAAATGTGTATCCTGGACATTGATTTAGATAAAAAGCAACTGGAATTTCCCTATGCGGTGTGTTAACTAAACCAATTGTAGTTGTATTGTCCCCTTGTTTTTAATATCAGCATTTAACTAATACATATGCCTTGGGTTTTTTTTAAATCCTTAAAAATGCAGTAATGTGTAACCAGGTCAGTTGGAGTCAGTGCCGTGCTTTAAATAAAATGTTAAACCGTCTCTCTGTTCAGTTGGACTTTAAAGATCCTAAGGCACTATTTGAAAATAATAATCCTTACATTTGAGATAGCGCCTTACCACATCTTCGAGACATCTCACTGTGCTTCACAGAATGTACTGTATTGACTGTATATTTTGTGGGCGAAACTCGGCAACCAATTGTGCACAGCAGTGCCCCACAAACAGACGTGGATTGAGTGACCCCAAATCATTATTATTTATTTTTGAAGGGATTATTATCCCTGGAAAAGTGATCTGCCAATCAACTAACAACCAGGATCCTACTTACTGCTAGGTAAACAGAAGCATGTGTAGTAAAGAAACTTGCCCAACCTTTCGCCCTGCCTGGGAATCAAACCCAGGTCTTCTCACTTGTGAGGAGAGTTCTCTAACCATTACACTACAGAACTCCAGAGGGAGTTCCTCCTGATGTCCTGGTCAACAATCCCCCCAGATGATATTGGTCATTCACTTCATGACTGGTGCAAATTGTCTTGTCATATTCATCTGAAAAATACGCAGTCACAACTGATTCTACCGCATAGGAATAGTTCATCTACAAAATACACAGTCATTAATGATTCTACCGCACAGGGAAACTCCTGTTGCTTTTTATCTCGACCTGTGTACCAGATACACATTTTTAAGGTCAATACTGATATGATCTTTGTGTGGAGTATGACTTAGCAGTTTCTTCCACCATCTGAGTACATTGCAGAGACCAGCTCTCCTTACTTCTTGTTAAGTGCTTGGATATTTGTCTTGCTCAGAAATATAGAACTGGGACACTTAAGATCTCCCATACAGCTGCCAGAAAAGAACTCTGACAATCATCTTAGAGTGTTTCACTGTTTTGAGGTAAATATGCATCACGGAAAGCTCCTTGAATTACAGTTTCCTCCGAAATGCTGTCAACGGAAATTAATGTGAGCAGCTGAATACCTCCAAACAAATATTAGAAGCAGTTCCTGGAATGGGCGAGGGTTTTTGCAAATTCATACTTTGCAAGTTTTCAGCAGCTCAACAAAATTACCACCAATTTCAAGAGTGCAATAAATCGGTTCATACAGATCTGCAGATACTTTTGTTGAGCGTTGTATAAAAAATAAAAGTAAGTTTTGTGCCTCATATGGATATTGATGTACTGTGTGTATAAGAGGCACATGCTGCCATATAATAATTCAATTTCTAAAATTCTAGGACCTAATCCATATTAAATATTCTAGCCATTTTGGAAATGCTTTAAATTGATCATAAGAAGTGCATATTCTGTAACAACTGTTTTATAAATTATACAATATTGAGGTCTTATGTAATTAGTGCTTCGAGGGCATACATTTCAGATCATTGCTAAAAAAAAGGAAGGTTTCAAGGTTTTTGTTTACACAGAAGATTTTTAAGAGATGGAATAGGTGCAACAGCATTCATAATAGCTTTTAAAAGGCAATTTGAGAAATATTTAAATAATAATTCTTGAATTTGATATGCCTTATGTCAAAACATCTCAAAGTGCCTTATAATGTTTTGATAAAATGCAGTGACTGACTATTTGTAGACAAACACATCAGCCAACTTGCGCACAGTAGTGTCTCACAAAACGCTATGAAGTGAATTATTTTTTTATTTGAAAAGGAAAATTATAAAAAGAGAGTGGGAACTAAACAGGTAGTTCTTTCAGAGAGCTGGTACAGGCAGCTGAGGGTCCAAATGGCCTCCTTATGTGCTGAAAAATTGTATGCTCTAATGTGCAAAGCTGCATTATTCACCATGTGGATATAGAGAATTAGGAGTCATTAACAATCAAATGAAAAGGATTAATTATAACTAACACCAATGCTTCAAGATTGTTCAGTACAGTACATAATTAGTGATGCTCTTAATTCCCTTTGTACACATGCATTTGCACATGTTGCATATTACACGTGAAAAAATGGTTTATATACAATAAGTAATATACCTCAATACTTTTTGGTAGCTGAGCTACTTTGTTCTTCATTTATAAAATAAACCCAAGCAGTTTAGTAGCAAAGTCTCATTCTCTCAGTCTAAATGTACTGAGTGGTTTGTTTTCTTCAAAGTGCGAAGTTTCAGAAATTATATGTAGCTCAAAAACAAATACATTTTGTTCTCTGACAGAAAATCAAACCACAGCAGGTGAAATGATAATAATGTATTTGGCCTTTAGGTTACCAAGTTCAAGCTCGTTTTTTTTTTGGACTACAGTCAAGTAATCAAATTGAAAATACGGTATTCGCTCCAATTGTGATTACATCAAGTTAATAAGATCTCAATGACTCATATAAGAACTGCAATTATTCTACAGAGATTTAAAAATAATAAAACCAGAAGGGCACGGTGACAAATTATTGGTTGACCCAGATAAAAGCATGACTAAGCAGATGTATATCAAGGAGGAACCAATGACTTCAAAGCCTATTATATTTATATTTAATCGTTGATGTGCATGATGCAGTTCAGAAAGGAATTTGCTACATCTACACCTTTTTCAGGTTGGGAACCCCCGTGGACTGTTCTCTCAGAATACTCATTTGAAATTGGGAATATTTTCCTTTAGTCTCTTATTCCCATGACCGCTCAAACCCCCTGCTTTAATGCCTGGTCTGCACTGACTGAGCAGTTATCAGACGGGGACATTTTTCAATGTAATGTAGTCTATAGAAGGTACCACAGATCATGAAGTAGTCAAAGTGATTGAACGATAATGATGAACTCCTTCTAATCCGTTTATGTGTCAGAGTTTGTTCTCTGTTGAGTGCAGTGACTTCTGCCAGGGAATGGTTACACAGCTGCTGGTAGCCTGCCGATATATTGTTGAAATTACTATTCTTCATCAGTGAGTCTAGACAGTGTCTGGAGGCTATATGGTTATAGAAGCAGGACCAATTCTGCTCTTGTGTGCATTTTCCATTGTAGGTCATATGCAGGAGAAGGAGCCTTGGCCTATTTTCTCCTCTGGCCCGTGGATACTAGGTCAATACTCATATTCCTATTTCTGCCCCAGCTGATATCTGCTTATTCAGTGCAGTGACGTTTTCATGAAAGAATTACCTTGAGGCACTAGTAACAGTTGCTACAACAGCCCTTCTTGATTTTAAGCATAACAGTGTATTAATACCTTACTTGGTTGTATGATAGATCATGTCAATTCAAAGCACTCAATTGACTGATATGCCAGCATGTTGGGATACATTTTCAGCTGATCTAAGACCATTGTGTTTAACTTTGATATAGCGCCTTATCACGTCTCAATGACACGATAGGGCTATATCAAATGCAAGGATTATTCTAATTATTCTAATGTTTATTTAAAATGCCGTTTTAATTGTTAATAATCCTGATAATAATCCCTCCAAAAAGCAAAACAATAATAAATTGGTCATTTTCAATCCACGACTGTTTGTGGGACACTGCTGTGCGCAATTGGCTGCCGCGTTTCGCCCACAAATATACAGTCAATTCACTTTACAGCATATTCTGTGAAGCGCTTTAAGACGTCTAGAAGACGTGAAAAGCGCTATATCAAATGCAAGGATTATTATTATTTTGATTATACAGGGTGACCAAAAAGTTGTGATACCATTACAATGTCCAATAAGTCTTAAAGAAATTATAATATTTTTGTTTTGTTTTAGATAATAAGGTCGATATCACGACTTTTTGGTCACCTTGTATAAGCTGGTGGTAATGAAGTTCCTTCTAATATTTCAGCGACTTTATTACTGTAATATTGGTGTACTGTAATGTTTCAGTGTCACAGCATGTGAGCTGAAAAAAAGGGACCAGCCCAGGAATACTGGAATTTCTCAGAACCTGGTAGCAGACTGAATCTACATCTTTGGTTGCAGCAAAACGTTGGACTTTTTTTTGCATTTGATATAGTTCCTTATCACGTCGTGGAAACATCTTGAAGCGCTTCACAGGATATACTGTAAAATGAATTAACTATATATTTTGTGGATGAAACAAGGCAGCCAATTGCGCACAACAATGTCCCACAAACAGTCGTGGATTGAGTGAACACATTTTTTTTCTTATTGGACTTAAAGCCACTGCATCACAAAAGTGCTGAGAGATTAGACTGTGTAACATGCACTTAAAGATTTAAATTTGAAGCTTTTGTTCTGATTTCTCCTGACATTCAGTCATGATAGTGGTGTGGGGTGAACAGCACAAAATTCACAAAATGGCTTGATAATCAGGTTTGGCAAATTTTTCATTGTAATATCTTAAAAGCTGCTGAAGCTATTTATTTTGGAAGTGCTCTTAATAGTGGGGTAATACAGTGTACATTTCAATTTCTCATGAGTTTTGCTGGTGATATAACAACATTTTGTGCATTTCATTTTCACACAAATGGGTTGTGGGAGGGTGAAACACACGAGAGCTGATAAGAACAATTTGACCTTCACCTTAAGTGCAAATGTTTCAGTCGTGTAGACTTGAGTTTTCAGGTCCAGGAGTCAATTTTATGATGTTAATGAGTTATCTGCTTGTTTTTCCTTGTACAGAAAGTTTGGCTACTTAATAGACGCTAACAATGTCAACAAACAACATAGCTCAGGCAAGAAAAATGGTGGAACAGTTAAGGATTGAGGCTGGAATTGAACGAATCAAGGTAAGGTACAGCAAAGTGATTGTTTTTAGTAAACTAGGGTATAGTCTGTTTTTAATTAAATTATTTCTGCCTCATTTTTAGGCTCTTGCTCCACTCCCTCTCTACATCGTACATCCTTAGATGACCAAGAGAGCGGGTTTGGTTGTATCTAGGCTCTTGACATTGCTGCTTTGTAACTGGTCATCAGAATTCATGATAGTTGCCCTGGGTTGATATGTTTTCTCCTCCCCTGCTTAAGGAAATGTTCTTCCTTTCCGATCAGCAAACTTGTACTGCAGTGTCACTCATGCTTGTTCTCAGCCGGCCGACTGAGTGTGATGACACTTCAATTGTAGCAGATCCAAATGTCAAGTGTGAACTTTGGCTTTCATTCTTCGTTAATTTTCACTGCATGGTTTGCTGAGTTGGTGATGCAAGAATTGCATTGGAGCCCCATAATTCCTGCACTTTTATCTTGCAATGTCTCACATGCTGAGTGACCAATCTCAACCGTGTCATAGTGAAGGTATCGATTGGATGTCAAATGCATTCCCACAGGTTTCACGAACTCTGTCCCTGAGTGTGGGTGAGTTCTACCTGACTGTCTTGCTCAGCTCGGACACCTGCGGAGGCAAGATTAACACTGCAGGATTGAGTACTCTCTCACAGAGAAGTCACAGTTCCAGTCTAATTCCCAGGCTGTTGTAATAGAATATAGAATCAGTTGGTGGTTTTCCACAGGATTTGAATTAACAGAGATAATATTAATAATAATTAATAATAATAATAATAATTAACAGAGATCACAGATAATCACAGAGATGGTAGATTTTACAATGTGTCTTTGTTACAAGAGCTTGAATGAGAAACAATAACCATTATAGGTAGAGGTGATGATACGTATGCTCTTTGTTAACTGTACACTTGAAAGATCTGAAGCCTCCCTCAGTTCCCAGAGCAGACTCTCCAAGCAGTCCTCCCTCCAGTCTGCTCAACCCCTTGTTTTTCCCACTCTCTCTTGTGTTGAGACAGGGGTGTCTGTGTGTGGCAGGGTGGGGGTGGGGGGGTGGAATTGAAGAGGTAGTCTGGGCTGCTCTCACTCTTACACATAACTGAACTGCCACCAACCAACCACCCTCTAGGTTGGAATTAAAGAGTCCCAAGAAGTGGAAACGGTAGAAAACACCTTAAAAGAGCATAAATCTCACCCCAACAAATATAATAAAATCATAAATCATGTTTTTAATCCATAATAAATCTAGAGCCGTTAACTGCCTGAATTGCTTGACATGTAATATTTTTATTGTACCATTCGTAAACCTTGTGCTGAATTTTCTAATAATTCTAAATGATTTGTACCTGTTATATATCTACATGGTTATTGTTATCCTGTTGCAGTGTGTTGTACGCTACAGCAGCTTGAGATCAGACATCATATGCAAACCCCCAAACCCCATGTGATATCTTACAGTTCCTCTCTCGTGACGCCATGAAGCTTGTCAAAGGATTCCCAATTCATGATGTCACTAGAGGGAACTCCATAATGTGGTATGGAGAGGACCTCTAGAAACAAAAAGTCTGTTCTCAACACAAAAGTAAGAGGCAATGGAAAAATATTGGTTAATGGATATTTCTCTTATAATATCAAGGGCTTATTAGTTAATTCACCATAATTCCCTTTAAGATCCAATATTTCTGTAACTTCTGCTTGGAATCTTTGTTTAGAACCAATAAAGTTATAGGATTGGTTTTGCAGCTATGTCCCAAATCAGAGTAACTTGTCAGTGGAGAATCTACAATCCAGACTGGAAACATCCAGTGAATGCATTGGATGTCTGGTTTCTAAGGAATGGGTAAACATTGAATACCAATGAGATGACAGATTACTACACACCTACTGCCTGTCTAGCTGTTGTTTTGCTTTGGTTTTAAAGCCCAAACACAGGGTCTGTCACACAAAACAAATCCCTGTGCTTTATCTTGTGCTTGAATCACGGCTAAAGTACGTTTAACCTTGATTTCTATCCAGTTCTCAAACCTTGATGTGTAAATAACTTTAGAAAAATAAATGTTGAAAACTATTGCAGCTAACTGAATCCAACGGACTTTAAGGAGCAGATTTTTTTCATGTCGCCATTTAGTAAATGGCTGTGGAGACTCACTGTCACGGTAAAAGAATAAAAGCAAGATAATACTAAAAAAGCGGTGTTTTCCGGTGTTTGAAAAAATTCTCCCTGCAAGCTGCCTTTCTGAAAGCCACAGAAACTGAGTGCTTCAAAATGTGTAAACCATAGTGTTCTGAGCTGCTGGTGAGCTGATCCTGCATTACTGTTATGAAATGTACAGAATTTTTAGCTGCAGCAAGCTGTCACCACTCCAGAGATATAAACCTTACCACAAAGGGACTTTACCATTCACTTGTGCTTCCTTTAATAAGAACTGCCTTTGCACTAATTCAGTGTTGACATTTTTTGGCTTCATGGAGTGCCAAGCTATCAGAATTTCCTGTAACATTCCTATATTTTGAATGCACAGCAAAGATCTGGAGCTGAATCCTGTTTGTGTACAATTGGTCAGGGTAACAGAATCAAAATAGAAAAAAACACTGAAAATAAGAATGAATCTGTGCGTCCACATGACTCCAGTTCACTACTACTCTGCCTCTGCTTGTCTCCTTGGCATAGTTGGGACAAAAACAATCTAAATGTGGATTGTTATTTGTGCAGTGAAACACTGAAGTTAATTTGCAGTGTGTTGTGTAACAGTTATAGCTATTTATTTGCTATCTGCAATAAGTAAACTCTGAATTTACATCGGTACACAGAGATACTAATGTATAGCACCAAGGAAATAATACCAAAGGATATACAATGCTAAGCACACAGCTAAGCTCCTCTTTAATTCATCAAATTATTTTAAGTTTGATCATTTTTCCAATGACAGTAATAAACTAGAAGATAATGAAATAGAACTGTTATTGATATCACATGTAGAAAAGATTTTCCCCACATTATTCCAGCAGGTCCTCCCTCTCACCTAAAACAGCTGCATTATAGAAAACCTCATTGTGTGTTCACATAATGTAAGCCCTTGTATTATTTTGTTAGATTGTAAAGTAAAATCTATGATCTTTGTAGAGACATTTGTTGGATTAATAAATAATTATTAAATGCAGATTGATTCTGGTTTCAGATTGGTTCTCCATTTGTAATGTCAAGTGTTAGGAAAGAGAGGAATTAATTGTTCTTAAATCATTCTTCAGCTCAGCAGTAAATTTGTTTTTGCGTAAAGCAAATGTTTAACACTATAGTTTGCAGAAACGTATCCTTTGTACTTCCTTCTTCCAGCATCCTCGCTATGTTGAAATCAAGACGTATCACTCTGCCTCTTATTTTAGCTCATTTGTTTAGAACTGTGAAACTCCTTAACTGCCTCCATTATCAAGGATGGACTGACTATATGGGAAATTAAGAAATTTCCTGAGTGCCCCCGTGAATGATTCCTGTTACTTACCATCGTCCTAATTAAGCCACAACAAAGTATTTAAACACACAGAGGTTTTATGCCGAATCAGTTCCACTGCTTCCCACACTCTACACAGAGCGAGTGCGGAACCTCGGTGTCTTGTTCAACTCTCCACTGTCCTTTAAACCCCACATCTGTGCTCTGACTCGGTCAGCTTTCCCCCACCTCCGCAACATTGTCCCTCCACCGTCTTGCCCCACCCTACCTCTGTGACCTTCTGAATCCCTACCAACCTGCCTGCTCACTTCATTCTGCAGCAGTGACCTGCTTCACGTCCCTTGCCCTGCCCTCTCCACCATCAGTGGTCGGGCCTTCAGCCTTTCTGCCCTTACTCTTTGGAACTCCATCCTGGTTCCTTCCCTTGCCTCTTTCAAATCAGTCTCAAGACTCATTGATCGCACCTTTGGTCATCTTCCCACTCCCACCCCCTTTGGCCCCTACCAAATTCAACCCCCAGCTTGGGTGCAAACCCTCGACTCTGCCACAACTTGGGAAGCCCTCCCAACGTAAATGCAATTTGTTGTCGTTGTTTTTAGAAGTGGTTTGAAAGCAAAGAGTGAGCATGTGAGGGTGAGAGTTTCAGACAGGCCAGGCATTGTGCCATCAAGCAAAATGGAAGAGGGACTTTTAAGTCTTGAGTTGGCAGATCAGAAGTATGATGCAGCCAAGTGATGTAGGCATTTAAAAGTTAAAACAAGGATCTTAAAGTCTGTTCACTGGGGAATAGGAAGCCAGCAATAGCCTCACAGTGTCTGGTGTGGGAAAGGATACAAGCAGCTAAGTTACGGACTTTAGAAGTACCACATCCTTCCAGTCTTTGAAGCAGGGCATAGATATCAGAATCCTTAACAACAACACGGCATTGCAGCATATTGTTTCATCTTTTAACAGCCCAATGAGCAGGATTCTTTGTTGGCGTCTTGTCCATTTTTGAGCTGCAAGAAGTAACTGCAAAACAAATCGAAGTGCAAAAGTGCAAAGTCTGCAAATAATTTTCCTTGGCAAGAAAATTTAACTTTTGGTGTTCAGTGTCGTTTGAATCTACCTCTGATCCCCAATAACAAAGCGGATCATTATTGCAGTATGGCCATGATCCTAGGACAGATATTGTTGGCTGCATGCCAAATGATCAGCTGTAGAATTAGTTGGCAATCCAGAGGCTAGCCTACATCATGTTCACCAAAGGAACTTGAATTCCAGTCTGAACTGATGCTCACATTTTAGCTTGGCTCTTAGGGGAATTCCAGGAAGTCTCTCGCCGATCAGGGAGAGAGGTGAAAGTAGCATAGTTTAAGCATCCACTCAACAAGTTCCTCATTGACAGATTCTGGGAAGATGCCTCTGTTTCCTGATTTTAATTAAAAAATGAATAATCTTTGCATTAGACGGCCTTATCTCTGCCTTTACGATCTGCTTTCTCCCCACTCCACTACCAGCTGGCTCTGGCTCTGCTCAGCTGGCTCTGCCCTCCTGCTCGTCCTTTGTCCCCTCAACTC